AAAAAAATAGCTCTCCTAACTTATCAGCTTTCAGATTCTGTTACGTGTCTTTCCACTGAAATTTATGGTACTGCTATCTCGGTGCTTCTGTCTCCAGCTGGAACTTTATTTCCCAACAGAAGTAAACACATTGAATCATGATCTAGAGTAACAGATGTTTACATGTACAGGAGAAGTGTTAAATAGAGGAGTGTGTAGCGTACGATGGGTACACACTGGAGTCGCTGCCCACCTAAGAGAACTGCTGGGAACTTTCACAGAGCGAGTCGCTTGGGCTAATCCTGAAGAATGGCAGGTGGTAATCTCCAGGAAGGGAAAGATGGTGATATTCCCGGCTGAAAGAATAGCTCATACAAAATATAAAATTACATGGCATATACTCCGTGTATCTTTACTGTTTAAAGATCAGTTTTTGAAATTCCAGCATGTTTTCATTTTCCCTGTGGTAAAATCAAATAACCATTTGTAAGTGTATAGTTCAGTCACATTAGGTACATTTACGTGCTTGTGCAGCCATCACCATCATCCATCCAGAATTCTTCATCTTCCCAAACTGAAACTCTGTGCCTGTTGAGCACTAATACCCCATTCTCCTCTCACCCTGTTCTCTGGTAACCTCTGTTCTCTTCTCTTTCTCTATGAATTTGAGTACTCTAGGTGCCTCATATAAGTGGAATCATACAGTATTGGTCTTTTTCCTTATTTCACTTAGTATAATGTTTTCAAGATTCATCTATGTAATAGCTTATGTAGAATTTCATTCTGAATAATATTCCATTGTATGTATAAACCACACTGTAGTTTATCCACTCGTCCACTGACAGACATTTGTATTGTTTCCACCTTTTGGCTTTTGTGAATAGTGCTGTAAATGAACGTTGGTATACAAGTATTTGTTCAAGTCCCCACTTTCAATTCATGTGGGTACATACCTAGAAGTGGAATTGCTGTAGTGCATGGTAATCTATGAAAATTTCTAAGAAAACATCAGACTGTTTTCCACCAAACTGCACCATTTTACATTCCCACCAGCAATGCACAAGGGCTCCAGTGGGTCCACAGCCTCACCAGCCTCTTTTAATGTTTTGAAAAAATTTACCAGGCTATACACTTGTTCCATAAGAGCCATTCCAAATATATTCATATTTGGCCTTTGTCTTATTGTTTGGATTGTACCAAGAATATACATGAAAAGGCCTTTGAGGTAAGATACTGACTTTCTAAGAAACTGAAAACCAAATGTAAAAGAGTTCATAGTCTCTGTGCTTTCCATTCTTTGCAATGAAGTTCTCTTCTTTCCTACAGCTCCCTGCACAGGCAGCACTTTCTTTTGCCATAGCAACATGTGCATAAATAATTCTTTAGTCTGTAATGGTGTCCAAAACTGCGCATATCCTTGGGATGAAAATCACTGTAAAGGTGAGTCTGCTGGTGAAGGCCAACCTTTTTGAGAGGATAGTGTCTTGCCTTTCATTAAGAAAGACTTAAAATATCCTTTCCTACAACTGCTTGCATAGCTGCTTTTGCAGAAATGGAGATTTATATTATAAATGTTCTTTTAAATGGATCATAGACCTCTGGAATGTGGTAAAAGCAAAGAAAAATACTTATTCTCAGCAAAAACATTTTTTCAAAAAAGCTGTTTTTTATTTTAAATGGTTTAAAAGGCCATCATGATAGTTCCTGCCCATATGCTTTTAGTCATTTGCATTATAAAGATACCTTATTTTCAAAATAAATTAAAATGTAACCTTAGGAGTATCATTATTTTTAAAACTGCTTAGGAAAACTATTTAATAAAAATCAACTGATGGATTCAGTCTTACAATGTAAAAGCAGATTTGTTGTAAAAACTGCTTTTTCTTATTTCACAAAATTTCCTATGCTATATTTCCAATGTATACTCCCTAAAAGATAAATATGGCTGTGGTAATAAATGTCTATAAACATTATCAAATCACTGTCTCAGTTCCAAAGTTTAGTTATCTTTTATTCTCCAAGAGTTCAATAAACATCTTACTATGAAAACTTACTGTAATCTGGTATGACTGCCTAAAATACTTGACATGAACTATTTTCAAATAGTAATTCAAAAATAGTAGACCATGAAAACATACCTGAGTGGGTCAGTCAGATCATATGATTCTCTTGCTGACGGCCATCAGTAGAAATACTGAGGATATATTTAAAATTAGCAGTTGGTTAAACCTACCATAGAACGGAAAGGTAAACTTGATAGAGCAAGAGTATTGTTTTGGCATTTCCTGTACTCATGTATTTAATTTGATTTGCAAGTTATATGCATTCATGTACCTTCTGAGTAAAAAACCAAGTCCTTTTTCTGTTTTGTAATCTATCTAGCTATATTGCAATTGGCTAGTTTAACTGGAAATCATAAGAAGATTGTTTTGTTTAAAAACCTAATTTCAAATTGCATTATCTGTGGTGTATTGGACACAAGTGTCCTCTGTTACCTAAAAATACCTTACCAGTTTGTGACAGGATTCATTCATGAATTTTGAAAGCTTTGTCATTTGTCTTTCTCTTTCTGCAGAAAAGAAAAAAACAGGACTATTTGAACAAATCACTAAAACTCATGGAACAATTATTGGCATTACATCAGGGATTGTCTTGGTCCTTCTCATTATTTCTATTTTAGTACAAGTGAAACAGCCTCGAAAGAAGGTCATGGCTTGCAAAACTGCTTTTAATAAAACCGGATTTCAAGAAGTGTTTGATCCTCCTCATTATGAACTGTTTTCACTAAGGGACAAAGAGATTTCTGCAGACCTGGCTGACTTGTCAGAAGAACTGGACAGCTACCAGAAGGCACGCCGCTCCTCCACGGCCTCCCGCTGCATCCATGACCACCACTGTGGGTCGCAGGCGCCCAGTGTCAAACAAAGCAGGACCAACCTCAGTTCCATGGAACTTCCTTTCCGAAATGATTTTGCACAACCACAGCCAATGAAAACATTTAATAGCACCTTCAAAAAGAGTAGCTACACTTTCAAACAGTCACATGAGTGCTCTGAACAGGCCCTAGAAGACAGAGTAATGGAGGAGATTCCCTGTGAAATTTATGTCAGGGGACGAGAAGATTCTGCACAAGCATCCATATCCATTGATTTTTAATCTAGTAAAGGTGATATTAATGATTAAGTATGTATGTATGCCGTCTACAGAGCACCCATACTGTTTTCAGCAGCCATCCCTTTTCCCCTATCAAATCAAGGCAGATCTTCATTTCCCGTTAACTATTGTAATGGTGAAGTTTTTATTATCTCAGGCAGTCTATATATGTTAAAACAACCGAGGAACTTTCTCCATTCAGTGAAAAAAATAATCATCTATTGCTTGGTGTCATATAAGCAAAACACCAGTTAAATAGCATTTGAAGAGGAGAGTGGTCATGTTGAGCCAGGCTCAGGCTGCCTGCTAGTCTTTGCAGCAGGAACACAGCTCTTGATTGATTCAGCTCTGTCAATTTTTTGATCCCACAAAAAGTTTAAACCTAAGATTTTTCTTTACATTCCTTTGATTTTTCTTTCCTCTTATTTGTTTTATAAGCCAGTACCTTTACCATTTCAGTTTCTTACATAAATATAAGTGGTTAACGTACCACACATATTTCAGTATAGGCATCTGTTTTAGAATTTGTCAAAATAAACTAGTTACTGTGGTAAGTGCCAATTAAGACCCAGAGTTATGTTTCGTCCATCTGTTTCTTCTTGATTAATTTCTGTACTGCTTCCTTTTAATTACTGGATCCTTAGTCTTTATTTCCCGTGAAAAGTAGAGGATATGATTTATCACTTTTTAAGACATATTCTGTCTTAGTTATATTATACTAGAAAATTTCATAATCCTGAGACATATACACCATTGCCAGTTACAACTAAAAACTTTTGGAAAAGATTACATCTTCTAGAAGCCCTTTGAAATTTCCCGAGTTTGGTCACTTTCAGTGATAACTGTGAGCAGTCATTTAATTCATTTTGGGGGAGACCTGTAGTTATGTTTATTTCCAGCATTTCCCATCACCAGATCTGTGTTTCCTGATTTTTAAAAAAATTTACTTCCTCCCTTTGTATTGGCTTATCTCATGGCATATGGTAACCAAGGTTGTATGAGAGTTAAAGGAAAACTCTAAGAAACTGTAAAGCCTTTAGATTGCTTCTTACTTGGGACAATACATTTTTCTAGTTCTTACCGAGAATAACAACTTCCTTTTTTTTTAAACTGCATTTTTGACCTGTTTTTTGTTATGGTATATAAACAATTTATAAACATGATATAAAAACTCATTGTCTTTTTTTAGACTTTTGATATTATTTGATACTGTATAAACTTTATTAAATCAAGATTAAAGACCTTCATAACAGATTTTTCAGTATTCACATAAGCCACTTGTATACAAATATGCTGTGATATATCTGTATGCTATAATTTATTGTAAAGACCTTAGTAATGAGCACATAAGTTTTAGTTTCCTTTTGTTAATTGCATTTAATTTATGATGAATTTTTCACTGTGTGATATTTACTGTTCAAAATCACTACACAAGTCTTGTATTAAAATATACATGATTCTTCAATCATGATTTTTTTACTGAGATTTTGGACCTTAATATATATATGTGGAAAGGAATTCATTTAACAAATTACAACCAATACAGGCCATTTAAAAGAGATAAATTCTCATTTTCTATATTTTTGCAGTAATTTCTCAATGAAGAAATTGAAGTTTCTCTGGACTTCATTGATTCTTTTAAATATCACATGTTTTCTCAGATTAGTGACAACTGCAACCTTAAATATGATACATATATAATACTTCAAAATGTTTATTTCACATTTTTTGTTTTTTAAAACATATATAATATCCAGGAGATAGGAAAACATACACATAGTATATTCATAATTTAAATTTTTTTAAAGTCATTTACCTTCTGAAGGTAAAAAGACTTAATGAATGTAGTGTTCAGTGAACTAATATACCAGAGCCAGATTAGATAGCCAAATTCTTTCAGTGCCAATGTGGAATAGGCATTCTAGTAGGTAACATGCTATCCAACATTTGAACATTATAGTAAATACTTAATATAATAACTGTGATATCATTGTTCATTATGAAGGAACATTAGCATATTTTCTATGTTAAATTATGTCTATTAGAAAAACAGCTGTTAAATCCATCTTTAACATCTCTAGATTATAATAGAAAATAATACAGTATGCTTAACTGCATTATAGTCACTTGTAACTATATTTTTATTTTTGAAATTGCTATTTTCTTTGAAAGATCATGAAGAGGCCTACAAAATACAGAGCCTTTAAAGAAGACAGTTAACATTATAACAAAGAAGTACATGGTTTCAGGCAACTCAGCAAGTAAAGCTTGGACAGCAAATTTGGTTCTAAATTTTCTGGCTGTCAAACAAATGAAATAGTTTTTGTTTTTCACAGAAGAAAACAAACTTATCTGCAGAGGTTAGTTTTGTCTCAAAGTAAAGAGAGGGATGATATTATATTGAAAAACAGGTCCTCGATTTAAAAAAGATGCAAAATGCAGAGAGAGATCATAGTAGTAAATCTTATCCCAGTGAAGGCACATCTTAAAGTGGTTTAGGAACATTGGTTTCTGATCAATCTATCTGCAGGGATAGAACTGAGAAACCAAATGACCAATAGCTAAGCCAGCCTTAGAGTGCCATATGCTTTCATTGAACTAGAGATGGGTTATTAGATCTCACTTATTTCTTAGTCAAACATGTGGCAGTACACTATAGGGAGAGAATGGAACTAATAAATTTTAGGCATTTTTACCAGCATATGCTAATGGCTCTATACAGGCATACCTCAGAGAGACTGCAGGTTCAGTTCTAGACTGTTGCAATATAGTGAGTCAAATGAATTTTTTGGTTTCCCAGTGCATATAAAAGTTATGGTTACACTGTAGTCTATTAAGTGTGCAATAGCATTATGTCTGGGAAAAAAAACAATGTATATATCTAAATTCAAAAACACCTTATTGCTGAAAAGTGCTGACCATCATCTGAACTTTCAGCAAGTCATCTTTTTTGCAGGTGAAGGGTGTTGCCTTGATGTCAATGGCTGCTGACTGATCAGGGTGGTGGTTGGCATAGCTGAGGCAATTTCCAAAGGCAGCAGTGAAGTTTACCACATCAACTGACGCTTCCTTTCACCAGTGATTTCTCTGTGGCATGAGAAACTGTTTGACATAATTTTACCTACAGTAGAACTTCTTTCAAAATTGGAGTCAATCCTCTCAAACCCTGCTGCTACTTTATCAACTAAGTTTATGTACTATTCTAAAGTCCTTTGTTGTCATTTCAACAAACTTCACAGCATCTTCACCAAAAGCAGATCTGTCTCAAGAAACCACCTTCTCTGCTCATCTGTAAGAACCAACTCCTCATCCATTCAAGTTTTATCATGACATGGCAACAAGTCAGTCACATCTTCAGACTCTAGTAGTAACATCAGAGGTCACTGATCACAGATCAATATAACAAATACAACAGTAATGGGAAAGTTTGAAATACTGCAAAAATTACCAAAATACATGATATAAACAAGAAGTGAGCAAATGTTGGAAAATGGGCACTCATAGAGTTGCTTCATGCAGGGTTGCCACAAACCTTTAATTTGTTAAAAAAAAAAACATAGTATCTTCAAAGCACAATGAAGCAAAGTGCAATAAAACAAGGTATGCCTGTATATAGCCTTTCATCATTGAGGCCAGTGAGAAAACTACAAATTGTTTACTAACGTGAAAGCTATAGATTTCAGTAATGGAAGACAAAATTTATCCATCGTGCGAAAGTTATTAAACACTTTACAGAGAATATAGTATCCGGGGTTAAATGTACAGTAGAAAATGCAAATCTGGAGGGAAGAATATCTTCAGTTCAGGGGTGGCAGTAGGTACACCTTGACGATATGCCCACAAATGGCCGAAGCCTACTAAACCCAACATCTGACGTGTGTAGAAACAAAATATCTTTTGTGGGGAGAAATGTTCAACCTAAATGTTTAACGGAAAACAAAGGATTTCCCAGTTTCACATCACAAAATAGATTTAAAAAGTTCTTTTGACTTGTTGGCAACTTTTGTGTCAGTGTCTTTGTCATATTTCATGTAGTTATTAGGCATTCAAAGAACCTTCTAATGTCCACTTTGGACCATTTGTGTAGTTCTGTTGTCTGAGGCAATGGATCTTCCTTGCTTCAGGAATGTGTCCACTGGTGAGGCAGGGTCACAAAAGCCTGGTTGTGATTCCAGTAATTCTCAAAGAAGATTATGTTCTCTTATAAAATGGTGTTTGCTGTATTCATAGTTAGGAGGAGCCTGGAGTTCTTGAATTTTTTAAGACCCAGGAAAGATGATGTGGTCCGACTATTAAATGAGAAAACCAAAGCCCAGAGAAATGAGCACCCTCATCGCAGAACTACTCCAGTGTGCTCCCTCGCTTGTGCCGTCTCCTTGCTGTAACTGGCTCTAAGTTTCAAAAGTCAAGCGATTTTAAACAACAGCCCAGATGTTCCCTGTACACTTGTCAATCATTCTGATTTAAAATGTAATTTAACCTATAATAATTTTTTCACAAAGTATTATATTTTACTCTTTTTTCTTTATCTGTGTAATACTTGATTCCACAATTTTGTTGCCATGATTTCTTGGCATCTGCAAATTCTGCAAGACAATTACTGTGAATTCTTAATAAACAATGTTTGCTAACAATTTATGGGTTTGACACTAGACAGAGCTTCAGTGTTTTGCTTTTGTGATCTTTTCTAAATCTAAAGAAAACAATGTATACTCTAGAAATTAAACATTTGTGTGTTGTATGCATCTCTTGAGTTTGGAGAATGATTTGAATTTTGAGCCTTTATAAATGACAGGTTGACCTCAAATTTCTTTTTTAGTTCTCTGCAAATTCAGCTGTCCATGTTTTATATACCTCTACTAATAAATACAAAATTATGAATTTTCTTTTCTTTAGTAACCTTTTTCATATATTTCTGTGATTTGTTTAATGACTACAAAAACCCAAGGAGCTAATGACTGGGGTGCATGTTTACTATGTACTTTCTTGAGTAAAATTTTTTTAAACAATGGATTTTTCTTTTAGAGATGAACTTCCAGACCGTTTAAGAATTCTCATATGCTTCATCCTGGATTTGACACCTCACAGGAAGGAACGGGCCCTTGTACTAGAAATAAAACCTTTTGTTTTGATTTCCTTGCTTTTACTTCAATATCCAGAGTCTCTGGAAATGACAAAGAATATTTACTTCCATGGCAGAATTGGCATGTCCTGTCCAATAGCTTCCAATGTAAAATAATCACAGTTACAATAAAATATAAAACAATCCTCAGGTGATTACTCCACTTTCAGTGTTCAAATTAATCTTCAAATGAAGATGAGAAAAAAAAAAGATGAGTTTAGTCTCAAGTTGCCTGCAGGATCCAGCCTGCTGCATGCGGTCCCCAAAGCGGCAGTGAGGACCTCCCCAGCATGGGCTGTCAGAACGCTGTCCTTTTGCGGTGCAGAACGCATCAGTCACAGCTACAGCCTAGCAGATTTCACAAAAGGTGTACACTGAAGAGAAAGCAAAGGAAGGCAAAAACTCCTCAGAGTTTTACAATCATACAGACACAGATGAAGG